GTCAGAGCTAATGAACTTGTCCAGCCATTCTTTAGGGCTGATGCTTTGGTTGTGCACATTGCCTAAGGACACTAGGACGTCATCAACATATACTTTAATGTCCAGAACTGCACTGTACTTTTGTGCAATCAGTACTATTCACTTTTCGTCAACCTTAGCTGACAACTCTGCCCAACTTTTACGCAGTTGTTTCACTTGATTCTTGGAGACCGAATGCCTCTGGTGTTCCTGACTATCCCCTTGCTCTTTTCCTTTCACAGGGGCTGGAGGACACACTACACTACTAGGTTTTGGTGCAGGCATCAACACGAGAAGAGAGCTGCTGGATTCGTCAGCTTTCTTTTCGATGTAACTCATACCTTTTGGTCTACCATTGGACGGGAATTGAACAGTAATGGATGTGGTTTGTATATTTCTAATCTTGTAATGGATTCGCACTCCTTTCAGCCTCTATTTCCCTTTAGTACTGGACCTTGCTGAGGCAGTACTTTTCAGTTTCGGACTGTCCTTAACTAAGCGTAGAATAGACTCAACTCTCCCTTACCTTGATTACTTACCTTCCTGTTCTGTCGCTTCCAGTCGTGCCCAGACCAGTTCCCACTTTAAGGGACCAGATTATCCAATAGCCTTTTCGACAGGCTTCCAGGATCGTGGTATGTACTATATGTCTTTATCTATTCAATACTTTAGCCTTTACCTCTGTACTTTAGTGGGAGCCCCGAAGGCTTCCCCACAAAGCACAGGGCCGGACCTGGGACCCCGCAGGATTCCCCAGTAGATCCGGCCAAGAGACTTTACTAGATTGATAGACGGTTTGGGGCCCCGCAAGCTTTCCCAATAGACCGGTCTATAATCAGTAAATGACTCTTTAGATGAGACAAAGATCGAATAAACGCACTCCGAAATTAATTACACCGTGACCCTCCACGGGCCACAACCTGTACTACAAGGAGCTGTTCAAGTTTTAGGTCACCAGATCCCTCCGCCTATTGGCTTCGGGGCTGGCCACTTCGGAGTGGAAACCGCTTGTCCAAAGGGGTTTGCACCCCGCTATTTATACCCCACAGCCACTGCCCTCATGCCCAATAGCACCCAGAATATTCCCAAAAGATCCCTCAATAGCTTCCCGGATCATCCCCTCCTTGTCTAGTCAACTTCCCGCTCAAACCCGATCAGGTACTGATCATCGCCCCTAGCTTCACCAATCATTCCCCAGAACCCATTCATATCCCTTTCATACCGCACAGGTCAAATCAGTATCCCTCTTAGTATGACCATTCATCCTTCTCACAGCACTACTCAGCGGATTGACACACCATACCCCCTTTGATTCAACACTCAGAGTTATGATTACCTTGCTCACCAAAATGCCAAACCAAATATTCAGTAGTTACTCACCAATACCCACTTATCACTCAACCAGCGATTCCCGCTGTATCATGCACCGTACTGCCTCATACCAGCCGGGGTATGACAGGCCAGTCATCCCCACTGCTCTCCACCAACCCTTCGGCATCGACGCTTGGATCCATGTCGGTCTCCATGTCGTCGTACACCAGTAAATCCGCCTCGTTGGCGCTGCCCTCAATCACGACGTAGCCTCTCTGCGCCTCTCCAGCGACTGTCGCCACCTCCGCCTGCTCCGCGCCGACTCCAGCCGCTGCCCTTCGCCATCAGTGACGTCCTCAGCGCCTCCTGACTCTGCCCCACCACCTGCTGCCCGATCGCGCATGCCTCAGGCCTTCCACCTCCTGCGATCACCTGATTCCATCCTCGCCCGCTTCCCCATGCCTCCGCAGCGCCAGCGCCTCAATCGCACCCACCATCGCTGAGCAGGCCTTCCAATCCAGCACCTCGCCTGGCCTTCCGTCATGCCACGGACGCCAACATCCCTTGGGGCCATCGTAGGTTCGCCTGGGTATGCAAGTCCACGCATGGCGCGACGAATCACAGCCATGCGAGTAGCACCGCCACACCAATTCGACTTCGCCATCGTCATCGTCCTAGCACCTTGGCAGCCGCGCTATCGCAGCCACGTTCATGCAAGTCGCCACCATCGTGCGTGCGCCTCAGAGGCGCCCCACAGCTCGGAGTCCAAGGTTGTCGTACGACATCGAAGGCAGCTATGACACATGACACATTGCGGCAGCTGTGGGAGCACATCCAAGGTACGGGATGGTACCCGTGCATCCGTCCGTATTAGGTTGACATGAGTGGCGTGCACTCCACTCAAGGTTGTGACGTGAAGGGTGGCGTGGGCATAGTCACACATGACAGCCCGTCAGGCTGTCATGTGAGCGACCCAATACTATGTTCAGGCCAAGCCTGGCCCATGACGGGCATGGGCAACCTACGGTCACTTGCCATAGCGCTGAAGTCATATCATAAGACAGCATCAGGTCTATTCTTGGGGTACCCATGGCTCAGCAAATTTGCACCCAATCCCAGCAACGCGTCACCGTCAAGGCAGGCTATTCCAGGCAGTTGAAATCTCGTTTTAACAAACTACACATCACATTCCGTCAAGGCCTTTCCCTTTGCTGTCATACGTTCTTGTTCATCGTATTGACATTGTCCTACGTCTATTTTAGGGAGTAACTTTTACAGGATGCCATCACAAAACTAACAATAATATGCATCCACGCATCTACTGGAGCAGATTACCCTCATTATTATCGTTAAGCTGATTCATACACAACGGACCAGTGGATCGGTGGGCATACATCTATTCCCATTATCAAGCTACTGTCAAAGCTCTTTATCCGAAGCACCTGAAGTTCCATTCTTTTCTTTTATGCGCCGTTGCTGATCATGGTACACTATCACCATTAATTACTCTGTTTATCCTTGGTTATATCGTCATGTACCATCTGTATCCCCTTTCTTTTCTTCAACCGTAACAACCTACTATTAGCATGGAAGCTAGCCGGGGCTATCATCAAGTTTTGGTATTCACCCTTTTCAGTTATTTTAGCTTGTAAGCGGCAGGAGACCTTCAACTGAATCACTGCCGATCAATGGCATGTTCAAAGGGCAACCCTCGTTATCAGCCTTTGCCCATGTGCCCCGTTGACATCCCTGGGCTGAACGCCCTAAGGCGTTTCATTCACGCACACAGCCGGTTATCCCTTCTCGACCAATCCCTTATGCAGACTACAGTTACAATGCACAACACCAAACGATCGTCAAGTTCAAACCCTCGGATCTTCTGAGAACTTAAGACAGCTTGTGTCTACCCAATTCAGTTTTCTGACGCTGCCTTTCTCAAGCAACATTCCATCGCCTTCATGAAAAGCTTCCAGCAGTTATGCATAGGAACCTTCAAGCTTCGGCCGAGCGTTATCGATGATCTTCAGCGCATCCAGAGCTGAGCAGCCACTTAGGAACTGTGGCATGCAATGTTCCCTTGGTCTTTCCCCTACAACCATTTTCCAGGCAGCAAGTTAGGCACTATAAACTGTCAAGGCATAACAACCATCGGATATTTTCTTGATATGCCGTTTGCACAGTAGCTCTCCCTTGTCCTTTTTATAAACGCATATCTGTTTTTCCTTGGCTGGCTTCCTTTTTCTTTTCTTGTTCACCCTGACTGGCTGTTTAACATTGGCCCAGTCAGCTGCCCTATGTCGGTCATGAGCCCGCTTACGATGTGCCGGTGCTCATGACTAACGGCAGTTTTAACAAACTGACTTGGTTCGATCTCTGTGGCAACCTTGGTGCGCGCGGTGCTCGAACGCACTCGCCGTGCATGGTCGGACAAGCAGCCAAGACCCAACTTGTCTTACAACCAAACCAAAAGTAGTCACGAACAGTCTCGGGCTCTCTTTAAATACCAGAATGCACCTCTACTTTTGCCCACCAGCACTCACACTCAGAGCGCTGGATTGAACTCACACTTCACACATGCACAACACGCTACCCCGCAGCATAGACCCATGTCTTCGACCCACGGCACCGACCCACAGCTCCAACCCACAGTACCAACTCATGATCACCAAAATTAGTAAGATTGAAGCTGATTGTTGGTCAGCCGTCCTCCCGCCTTCTCAGTCAGGTCAATGTGTGCACCAATCAGCCAGCACATGAATAGGTGTTTGCACAAAATCGTAGCTGCGGCCGTCTTTGTGTGTCAGACTTTCATCTCTTTAAACTGGCTTTTCAATACGTATTCACTTCTCACATTGAGTTTTCCTGCACATCAGTGTTGAGCCACTGACCTCCAGTTATGATAACTGGAAAGCTTCATGTGAAACATCGAGAAAAGCTGAAAGCCATTCAAATAATTTGTTGATGGCATTCCTCGAAACGGGATTCTCATGTGCCACCACTTAATCATCGTTTTACAAATCAGTAGTTGACGGAGGCAGATCATTGGTCAATTAGTGGTAATTCGAACAGCGGGTTATTTGGGGGGGCTGGGACCCTGTGGCCCGGGCACATGGCCAGAAAATACCGGAGCTCTGCAGGCGCGGGCCGCCTCGGGAACGGCCTCACTTCGCCACCGGGCGCACGCAGGAAGGTGCGGACAGGACCCCGCACGGCCTTCTGCGAGACACCGCCGCCGCCCAGCACATGAAAACCGCATGGCCCCCCACGTGACCGCCCTTGAGTTCGTACCCCTGGGGGCCGCTCGGCTCGTGAAGACCCACGTGGACGCATATGTAGGCGTGACCGCCTTCGCGTTGCCAGCCCCTTAGGTGTTCAGCAGGACATGTAAAGCCCACGTGGACGGCCACGTGAACGCCCTTATCTTTGCAACCTTCCCGATAAGGGCCCGCTCGCCCCCAATGGGTCGGGGCGACGGTCTGCGGGCGGCCCGAATGGCGCAACCCAGCGGCGGCCCGTGACAGGCGCCCTCCCCTGTCGGCGGCGAAGAGTTGCGCCCGGCGTGACGGCCCACATCACGCGCCTGGCGCCCCGGGCCCGGGCCGGTCGTCCCGGACGTCGGGCGGGAGAGCCGCGTGTGGATACATCTGAGTCGGGGAGGATCGGGGGTCGGGATGCTGTCGAGCCTGAACGTCCGGGGCTGCCCGCTGGTGCGCTACGGCAAGGCGTCGTGCGCGGTCAAGAATGAGGTGCGCTGGGGAAAAGGGGGCTGGGGAGGCCGCGGGGGTAGGCAGGGGGCGGAAGGTGGATCGCGTTGTGGCAGCGCCCGTGGAGTGGGGTGTGTGGATTGATTGATTGATTGATTGATTGATTGACCGACTGATTGGATGATGGCATGGGGTCCTCTGGGTGGCGAGAAAGGGTTGGGCACGGGGAAGACTGTGTCCTGGGAGGGCTGTTGGGGTGGAATGGAATGGGCGCCCGTGGGCTTGGGCGCGGGTCGAATTGGGGTGGGGGAAGTTGGGGGAGGGGGGCCACGGTTTAGTCGCTGCGGTGCGGATCGGGGATTAGGATTTGTCGCTGTGGCTTTGTTGGGGTCTGGATGGCGATGCGGAGCGGGAGCCGGCGTCTCTCCCGATTTCAGCGTCGTGCTGCGCGACTACCGCCGCCGGGGCGCCTCGTCGAGGGTCGGGGCCGCCAAGTAGGGCCCAAGGGGAATACGGCCCCCAACAACAAGATGCTCAGGAAGTCTAGTCGCAGGCACGGTGAACGCATAAACCCTGACGAGTTTGGACATCGCCAAACTTAGCTGCGGGGGCCCGTTGCGACAGCGGAGAGGCTGTCGCCGCGCCAACAGCTACCATCACTTCTCGCCCCTTCTCGGCCCTCGAACGGCTGCGGATTGCGCCTGGCTGCGCGACTTTTCTGGAGGAATGGATGCGGATTGCGCCTGATGCGCACTGCCTGCGCAGGACGTGTGCTTCCTGCAGCAGGACGCCACGTGCAAGGCCGCCGGCGCGCGGTTTTCGTTCTACTGCATCTGCGACGGTCACAACGGCCCCGCGGCCGCGCGGTTCGTGGAGCAGACCCTCATCTCGGAGGTGATGGACAGGCTGCCGTCCATGCAGCTGCCCAAGGCGTTCCAGACGGCGGGTGGGTGGCGTTACTGTTCACGGGGTGACTTGGAGCATCAACCGCCGTATCGCAGTATCAAACGCGGTATCCTGCGTACCCTTGCCATCCAAGCGCATCACCAAATTGTATCGCAGACAGTAGACTCCATCCCGTGACTTTCACTTTCTTCTTCTGCCTTTCTTGGGTTCAGGTGCGTGAGTGATTGTGTCCCTTGCAGCAGCTTGAAAAACGACGCCCTGTGTCTCCACCAGGTTTAGATATTCAGGCAGCGTCAGCTTACTGGCGGTCTGCAAGGTTGACCTTGGGTAAGAGGTCAACCCAACCCCAACATCATTCAAGCACACAACGGATACAGCTGCAGGGGAGTGTCTTCGAATTGATACACAGCGTGCACTGGTGGTGCACCTAGGGGCAGGGAACAGCAAGGTTATATCGGGCAGTTGTGGTGAAATTCTCGGTGCCCAAACAACACTTGCCCATACCCAGCAAGGCCAGCTCTGCATTATGCATTTAAGAGTGAAGATTCAATTGCTGGCAAACACGGCAATGTGCCATCAAACGTTCCACACCCTCCTAGCAGTGCTGTTAGAAACTCTTGCCCACACACTACAGAAGATGCAGCAACATTGATTCCCAGGTCATCATTGTTGTGAGAATTAGCTTGGAAGGGCTCACACGTGCTTTGGAGGAGCTGGCTCAGATGTTGTGTTTGTTCCTTGTATTTCATGTGTGGCTGCTGGGCCTTGAGCCGTTGGTGCCATGAGCCCTTGTAATGAGATCTGGGGAGCCCAAAACAACATGATGTGCACAACATCAGACAACACGAGCTTCAAGCATTATTGGATAGCCAAGAATGCATCTGTTCCCTGTCAACATGAACATCCTCCTCAGTTGCATCAAACTTTGGCTTGTGGCTTTTGATGTAGAGGGCAAGAAGTTTGCAGCGAAGATCAGTGAAGCCATCATTGATGCGTTTGCGGCAATCGACACCATCTGGCGTTCCCAAAACATAGTTTCAGGTGTGTGTGCCTCCATGACGAATGCTGTCTGTGATATGTATCCAAAGCAGCCAACGGCTGGCAATTTCAAGGTTTAGAATTTTGTTAGGTTTACCAATGAAGAGGCAAAATTATGTTGCCTTCACAAGTTTGGGATGTTGCAGCACTGCAGGTGCTCTGAGCTTTGCCAGTGAAAATCTGTGCTAAAACATGTTGATGTACAAATGGATAAGTTTGAAGTTTAATAACTTTGCATCCTTGCACAGCTGTCCCTTGACATGTAATTTGCTTGTGGAAAGGGTAACAAAACCTGGAGTAGTGGGTTTGTTCAATGTATGACAATGGATGTTTGTTTACTGAATGCCTCACAGCTCACCCTCTGCACACATCTCTCAGTGCAGGAAGCAGTGTCACAATGTTCAGGATAAGGAGGGGGTTGCATGACATTTTCTCCTTTCTGATTAAATGAAATCTTCATCCTGTCTAGGCACCACCGTGACCGTTGCAGTGGTGGTGGGATGGCTCCTAACTGTGGCCAACATTGGAGACTCCCTAGCCTTCCTTCGCACCGCTGGGAGGGTGTACCCTATGACTGCCAATCACCGCCTTGCATCCAACTCCTCTGAAGTCAGCAGGCTTAAGAATGCAGGCGTTCAGGTCGCCAGGGTGTCCCAGGGATTGGATGGCCCAGCGGCAGAAGATGGCACAGGTTTTGGACCACTCAGGGCATGGCCAGGAGGGCTGGCAGTTGGCAGATCATTGGGGGACATTGACGCATGTCCAGAGGTGGTGTGCAGGCCACACATCAAACAGGTGATGTTGAAATTTTGATAGCATGGTTGTTGAATGTGCAACAGGCGTTGGCTTAATCTGGCGATTGTGGGGATAAGTTGCAACTAATCGTAATGTCTGTTCTGATTTGAAGCTTCCAGCTCCCAGGAACCTTTAATTTGGGAAAAGAAACCAGTTTGACAAAATTTATGAAATGCGAAAGGTATCCAGGCCATATCTTCCGACAACAGAAAGTATGGGTGCCCCTGGTAGTGCAGTGTTTCGTGAATTGCAGTGAATTGCAGTATTGTGTGCTCCCAAGTTGTTTCTGTGACAATATGAAAGGTGTGTCCCACTCAGTACAAAAGGATGGAAGGATGTCCATATTGCAAAGCACAGCCTGTGTACCTTCAAGGACTGGCAAGCACGCAAGCATCCAATAGAGTCCACTGTGCATTGCCCAAAGGTGTCGGTAGTATCCACTGTATGCTTCGTATTGAACATTGCCCCCGGTATCCATAGTATCCATAGTATTCACGGTATCCATATTATCGATGGCGTTGATGCTGAAGTCCAGCTTTAAACCATCTGCAGGTTGTAGTGCACTCTGAGTTGGGCGCCCGCCTGGTAGTGGCGTCGGATGGGCTGTGGGACATGTTGAAGCCCAAGAAAGTGATGTCCATCATCAAGACCCCGACTGTGGATCGTGCATCGACCAAGCTGGTGTCCACTGCCAAAAGGGCAGGGGGCGGCGTGTTGCACGATGACATCTCGGTGCTGGTGCTGGACATCGTGCCTACAAGCATGAAGGATGCTCCAGCACCCAAGCACATAAGAAAGAACGTGGCATGGAAATGTTGCTCCTCAACGACGGTGAGAACGGCTTTGTGGTGCTATAGAAGTTCCTTCCATTGGGTCACACCAGTGCGGTTGTCAGTAACTGCTAGTTCACTTGAAGTGAACGTGCATCAAAATACTGGAGTGGGTCGATGTCAAACTGTGGACATCCCAGATATTTGTTTGAGCACCCTGGTCTGTGTTGCAACACGCCACACACTTGCATTAGGTAACAATGGTTTGTCAAGGGTAGCACAGGGTCTGTTGCATCTGTATGGAGATTGTTTCTGGTGAGAATGGCTTGGGTTGTGCCATCGCCAAGGCCTATGGAGATCTTTGCTGTGCACATTAGAACACTTGTTGGAAACCGTGCACATGCTCTCAGCAAAAGTGAGTTCATTGTTCTCCTGACAATGGATACCTATCTCAAGTGCCACTACCAGTGTCCTTTTTGGCAATGTTGGCAGAAGACCTCATTGACTACATTTATTGTAACAGGCTGAATTACTGCCTTTCCACCTGTACAGAATATTGTGTGGTGATTGTGGAATGTTTTAGTTCATTTCGCAAGACTGGTTGTGCCACAGGACAATTCGCAGCACACACAACTTGCTATCGATGAATTCCATGTGTGTCTGTGCGACTTCTGTCTGTCCCTCCATTCTCTGCTCACCACCCGCCTGCAGCACTCACGAAACAGTGGTGGACGAAATCCACTCCGCACAGTCTGACATTCACCACCCTTTGTGCCAACAGGACGACGATCGTTCAAGTCTGGAGTTTGTGTCGGACATCGACTCTCTGCATTGGTATCCAATGCTGGTGCACACAAAGAGCGCCGGTGCTGCTGTCCAGAGGGACCCTGCCAACTTGACTGTCCATTCAGGCAAGAGCTACACCGAGGATGAGAGCAGAGGTCAAAAAACAGGGCCTCGTACATCGGTTGGCCACCCACCTGCCGCCAATATGGGAGCCAATGGGAAGCGTAGAACCATGAGCTGCTACGAGGTGATCACGCCCACCTCCCCTTTTGAACCTCCAGCTGCACCAACAAACGCACCACCAGATTTGCCGCGCTACGACAGCGCAGCGGATGTAAATGCCGATGCGCACAATGCCAGGGAACGGAGCAGGAAGCCAACGGGCATGATGGACTACACGAGCCATCATTTTGAACAGCCCAGGCGGCTCGACAGTGCGCACATAGGATAGGGGGCATGCGTGCTCAGGTTTTGGGCGTAGGTAGTGCTGAAGATAGATGGTTGGCATTATAGTGTGAGAACATAGATGACAAATTGCACCAAGAAGAATCAGCGAAGGTTGCACGATTCGGCCCAGGCAAGACGTAGCTTACAACACCGATATGCGATTGAGCACGGCTTGAAACGCGGACGAAAGTTGCGTGAAGTGGACCACTTGTTGCCAGTGGCCGTTGATTTTTGTGGGGGGAGTTGTAAAATGTAAAACATGCAACACATGGCCGGCAATGTGGGGCAGCCATGATAGTCCACTTTGGTGTCGGTGATCGTTTGCCTTGGCGTGTGTCTTTGTTCACTGTTTCAAACATTCCAGATAGCCGCCCCACACGAGCCGCTTCGCGTTTGAGTTCCTGAATGGGGTTGTCTGGGATGGGATCGAGTCGCCGGTGACATTGCGACCTCTGTGAATGGGTGGACTGAGAGGCGCACCTGAGCACACCAACGAGGTCATTGTATGGCTGACGTAGCCTTGTCTGATCATCGGCACCTCGTTGTTCCTCACGTGCCAATTATAACGCCCAGGTGTAATTACACCTGGGCAACATTCTCCACGGTCGTGGTACACTGAGTCACAAGTGCGCCCCGATGCCGCCATGCTCTTGGAGTCTTGTGCGCTGTGTGCAGACCATTCTACAATCTGGCGAAGTCGCTCATCGCAAATCCAAAAGAGCATTGCAAACGAATCGAGCAACCTCAACCGATCAGCGAAAAGGTAAGACAGACGGACATCACAATAACTCTGGCGCCCCCGGCACATCACAGCAATGGGCCACCCTGTGAAACTTGTAAGAGGGAGTCACTGCGGCCAGGCGACTTCGTCACCCCCTTTTTCTTTAAGAAGGAATCGCATAGCATGTCGTGAGTGACTGCTGGGTTGATTGGTTGGAGATTGAAGCCATCAGGCCTCTGGACAAGTCCATGCTTTTTGGCACTCCTGCATGAGAACAGGAACTTGGCTGGGGTTTGTGAATGCTCAGGCAGGATCCAAGAAATTTGCGCTGGTGGCGGTCTCGGGGCTGACGTTACGTGCGCACCACGTATGCGCGCCACGACGGCGCGACACGACAGGACAGGCTGTCCTGGATGGGACGTCCCGGCCGGCGCCCAGATGCCCCCACGACGATGCCTCGAGGCACCACCACACAGCGCTCAGCCGCCCACGCCAGACGCCCAGCAGAGGGCAGCCCTGTCGCCGCTTTGCAAACCTTGGGACTGAGGTAGCTGGAGCGCCCGCCCCGAGATGCCAAAGACGATCGCGCTGTTCGATGTGGACGGCACCCTGACCGCCCCTCGCAAGAAGGCCACGCCGGAGATGCTGGCCTTCCTGCAGGAGCTGCGCCAGCGGGTGCCCGTGGGGATCGTGGGCGGCTCGGACCTTGCCAAGATCAGCGAGCAGCTGGGCGAGGGCGTGGTGTCCCAGTACGACTTCGTGTTCTCGGAGAACGGGCTGGTGGCCCACGGCGGGGGCGCGCAGCTGGCCGTGCAGAGCCTGAAGGCGCACCTGGGGGAGGCCCGGCTGAAGGAGCTCATCAACTTCACCCTCAAGTACATCGCCGACCTGGACATCCCGATCAAGCGCGGCACCTTCGTGGAGTTTCGGAACGGGATGCTCAACGTGTCGCCGATTGGGCGCAACTGCAGCCGGGAGGAGCGGGATGCCTTCGAGGCCTTCGACAGGGGTGCGGGCGTGAGGAGCAAGATGGTGGCCGTCCTGGAGGAGAGGTTCGCGGAGATGGACCTCAAGTTTTCGATCGGGGGGCAGATCAGCTTCGACGTGTTCCCGCGGGGGTGGGACAAGACGTACTGCCTGCGCTTCCTGGAGGACTTCAAGGAGGTGCACTTCTTCGGGGACAAGACGTATGAGGGCGGCAACGACTACGAGATTTTCGTGTCGGAGAGGACGAAGGGCCACACCGTGGCCAGCCCGGATGACACCATGGCGCAGTGCAGGCAGCTGTGGATGCAGTGAGGGGCGGGCGTTGGGCGGGGCCGAATGGCGGTCATTCGCTGGGAGGGGGGGGGCGGCTTTGGTTCTTCTGTGGGTTTGGGGGGACTTGGTGGTGGTTGGTTCGCGCTCACGCTTTTCTTTTCTGGTGTAATGATTGCCGGATTGGTACGTGTGATGCGGAATTGTTGAAAACCCTGCGTTTCAGTTCGTTCAAGCAGCTTCAGCGATACAGCAAGCCTCTTCCATGAACGTTCCAGATGACGCTGGCGAAACAGGCCGGCGACTCGAGTCGGCAGAGATACGGCGCAGAAAAGCGCCTTCTCAAGTCGCCAGAGGATTCCTATGGACCACAGGCATTGGGCGCCCGTACACGAACTTCTTTAGCGACGTTCAATGCATCAGTTTACACCCCTGTGGATGCACAACTATGGGTGGCGCCTGACTTTTCTGATGTGCGGTCGCTGCTGCCGGCCCACGCTTGCGACACATGTCGCCTGAGCCAGTCCGCGATTTTGCGTTCGGGCCTGGGAACTTGTCTCGTGGGTGACGACGACCAGCCGTGGGGTGTGCAGCATTGGCGAGACCGAGTGGCGGTGGGTTGCCAGGGTGAGAGCCGTACATATCAGAATGCACCTGATCGTGACAACAAGTGGGGTTAACATCCAGCCAAGGAGTTTGTGGTAAGGGTTGTGAGATTTACCACAACAGTGTGTCCAATCAGTCAATATCTTGCACGCGAGAGACAAATTGTGGCTGGCACGGTGACGCTGCAATTGATATCCGTCAGAAAACTTTGACATGGGTGGCCCCTGCGCACTGTGCTCAAAAGCAAAAGAGCACATGGATATTTGCATGATAGCAGAGTACTCACTCATGTTGACGAGTTTTGATAGCCCGACCTCCATGGGCTATGAAATTCTAAGAAAGCTGTTCACGAGCCAAGGTGATCTCAATAAGGCGGACTTACTGCCGTATGGGTCAAGAAATTTGAAGAATAATTACAAACGTTGTGCATGCAGTACTAGAAAGTTGATGGACAATATGAACAATTTCTTAAGTTTTGGGACGTTATAATGTCCCAATTAACTAATTGAGCTGGAAGTAAGGCAGGACCATGCGTCGTTTCTCTGCGCATGAACAGACAGTTAGAGCACCACAGACCTCTCAAGATCTATGAATTTTATGTGAGTTTATGGAAAGGCAGGAGTGGTGCCTGGCCACATCAGTAAGGACATCACATAGAAGAAATACATGTTGGCAACAAAGCGGCTGGTTCGGCTTGTTTTGGACCGTTGGTGCGGTGCAAGGGTACTGGAGGGAGTGTCCAATCCTTGCAACGGACATATTCAACACTGGATTGAAAAATACGGATGTGGGAGGATGGAAATGTCGAGGATCCTTTCCAAAACAACGTGGAAGTTCTCGTGAGACATTATTCGTCACTCATGCATAGTGTGAATTGCCCTCATCACGTATACATGTCGCTAGACTCAACGTTAACCATGTTGTCCTTACACTCAATGTGGGGAACATGTCTGAAGCATGCCGATTGGCTGGGCTACGCGACACCTACAGTTCATACACCAGTCAGAAATTTTGGCACAGTTTGCCGTTGAGCATTGCCAACAACGGGAGAAGGGCATTGACATAACGTGCATAGGGATTACATGGACTGCATATCCGTAGATGAAACAACCAGTGCGATTCTTGCTGAATCATGCACTTGTCCTAATGGGCAAAACGCTGGTAGGAGACCTGCAGAAATCTAGGTAATTATAATTGACTATCCTGTGTTCGAGTGCCATGATGTTACAAACAGCTGACAAGCACCGCCAGGAGGGTGTCTATACTTAGGAACAGCAATATGACTCGACGATCAGCTATATACGCTCAATGAGAGTCACTAAGGGCACAGCCATTATCACAGCCCTGTCAATCGCCCAGGAGTGCTGAGCGTTCTGCTCCTGCACTTTACCAACTTAGCTCATAGAAGCTCACAGGACAAGGAAAATCATCATAGCATGCAAATTCAAGCCCAAAAAGACAATTGGGGTGTGGTCGAGCGCTGCCGAAGCGAGGCGCAACCCCAATGCTGAACTTCGTATTCAACTTCACCCTATCCGTTCACATTCAGCGAAAAGCAAGCACAGACAGGGCGGCTCAAAGCGAGGCACGAAAGCACGTTCAAACTGCAAGACGACGCTCCACACCTCGCTCAATAGCTCAGTATAACGAGCGTACTGACCATTCGTCGGATGTCACCAACCGATGTTGTCAATGCTCGTTCCTTGCGGTCCAGCGCTGCACTCCAATCACTCGCCGAGCAGCGGACGATGAAGACACGTCGTTGAGTCGACGAAGACAGCGCCCAACGTGAGCGCACGTGGGTCAGTCGGTCAACGAAACGGGGGACAAGCTCGACGACGAGCTGTGGGTATGTGCAGCGGTGCACAACCCGGAATTCAAACGACCCGGAGGGTCAAGAGGCAAGGATACACCGAAACGAACGTGTTTGTTACGAATTCGCTCCCCTTTGACCACGTTCAACCTCCACACGATCACAACACGACCGTTCTCAACAGAGCACCAACCGTTCAGACCGCAGGAACCAAGAGCGGACTGGTGGGGGGCGGAGAGAGAGAGAGGGGAGCACTCACAACCCAAACAGCCCCTCCTTAATACCCCCGCCAGCTCCAACAGCACTACAACCCTTGGATATTCAAAGAGACACCTTGAGAGAAAGGCCCCAGTACTCCTTGTACTTCTCCGAACTTCCTATTGACCTTCTCCAAGTTGACCCTTTCCAAAGGGTCACACAATACAACCAAAAAAATCACTTTTGAACACTACAACATTAATCAACAGCCGTCAGTGCCCCTTGGCAGCACTCCCGTGAAGATGTACTACTGTACATTCTCTTCCCACTCACGCTGCGAGGAACTAAGTGCTGTAGGTTCCTGAAAAATCAAATTAGGGGGAATCCCCCTATTCAAACAAAAAAATACATCTGATGCATTTCTCATCCCAAGTACACCCATCACACCCCACAGTTCCGTAGTAGGTAGTGTCCCCCGGCTGTCTAACCCATTCTACCTCATTTTCCCCCATGTATGACATACGTGCCCTTAATTGTACCCCCTGCATCATCCAACTTCCTTCCGGCCCTGGCAGCTCCACCTCCCACTCAGCCGTTACGTAAGATTTCCACCTTGACGCGGCGACCACCCTCCAGTACGCCCGGGTGGCGCGCTCCACCATTCCGAGTGGCAGCCCCCCATCTCCCTCGGCGAGGCCGCCCACACACCCCTCCCCGGCCCACACAAATGGCGCGGGCGGGCCGTCCGGGCCGTCGCGCTCGGCGGCCATCCAAGCATCGCGCTCGGAGATGCTCCAAGCTCCTTCGCCGCGCCAATTCGCGGCAAACACACTCCGTCGAAGTCGATCACCCAACCGGACGTTGGGGATCGCCGCAACCCAGTACGCTTGGATGGCAAATAGCGGGCCGTTCAGGTGCCTTACTTGCCACCGAGTCGTGGCATCAAAAGCTGAGTGGAGCCAAAAGTGAGGCGTTCCGGGGCCGGAGGCCATGGCCCATGCCTCCGCTCCACTGAGCCCATTGCGGCACGCGAGCACGACTTTGCCCGCTTCGTCCGGGCCGACCAAAGGCTCCCCTGGGCCCCTTCGTCCCTAGTGCACGGATCCACAAATATCCCCGGAGGGAGAGAAAGCACTGCTCCGCCATGGAGCATGGCGGAACCTGAGGGTCCGCCCACACCGAACGCAAGCGCATTCGACCCGCTTGCGGAACGTGGGGATGCTCCGGCCATGGCGAGGGAGGGCTTCCAACGGTCGGGGAGGCTGGGGTGTTGCGGCGCGCCAAGCAGACCGGGCACAGCGGGCGTAGGCGGGGCGCAGGCACAACCCGCGGGGACCAGATGCAGGAGGGTGCGGTCACGTCCGACATACGGTACATTACACGAAATGTCAAAAGGGTGGTCTCCCGTACGGGTGCAAAACCACAAAGTAGTGTAAGCAGCCGCTCACAACGTCCCATCATGCCTCAGTGGACCCCTATACCCTGCCAGTACTTGTCCTGTCAAGGTCCTAGGACCTTTTGTAAAAGTTCAGGTCCATTCAAGGGCACCCCCTACGGTTCATGGTCTTCTCAAAACGGGTCAGAAATTGTCCGTTTTTCCTTCCGAAAGTCACTCAAGACGTTCTTACAAACCGGCCAGCCTCTCATTCAGGGTCCCTCACCACACGCCCTACACACACCGTGCCTCTTTGTCCCCGGCTAATAGTACTGGGAAATCTACCATAATCGCATACTAAACCCAGTTCTGCACACCCCAAATCCATCACTGAAAAACTGTATTGTATGCCGCCAGCCCGCGGGCCCAGCCAGCTCGTTTTGGCCCCTTTCTTTTGCCAGTTCACTGCCCATTCACAGCCGTCCGTGCTGCCCGTAGAGTGCCCTTAAATTGACTTCATTGTTGATCATTCTGGACGGTTCTGCTGAGTGACAATGCAAAACAGCGAGATGGAGGATGCCTCAACTGTAAATGCATCGATTCATGCGCACTGGAGAGAAGCTGAGCGTGCACACGTTTGCCTTGAGCATTCAGCAGCTGCAGGACCGCCAAATGTAACCGTATGTCATGCGGTTCAAGGTAGCTTCTGCTGAGCACATTGGCCTTTCCTTTTCTCTACAGTTTTCTCTCGATTACAGTGGTGGCCATTTACTTGAGCAGATTGGACTGTAATCGAACACCTGTTAAGGAGTTTCTGCCAAGGACGACGTTGGGTGGGCGCGCACCGGCCAGTCTGGCCCGGTCTGCCTCTCTGGGCCATTTCAGGGCCATCAAACGGCTGGTTTCTGTCAACCCCTGTACGCGGGGTCAGTTCTGACCGACGGATCCAAGGGTGACCGGGTGAACCTTGCGACTTGGGCGTAGACAAGGGGACCAGTCCAGCTGGCCCTTGGGTTTGGCGGGAAGTTTGGCGGCAAGCGGGAACGACTA